GTACTTTGTTGTGTATAACATGCACAACTGTAAGCAGCCATAGTTATGCACCAAATTTCATGCATAACTATGTAAAACTTCAGCATTACTTTGCACAAATTTGTGCATAGTGGCCATAGTTTTGCATAATTATGCATGAAAAACTGTGCATAGCTATGGCTGCTTAAAATCCTGCAAGTCTTATGCACAACAGAATTCATGGGCAATTCTAGGCGTTACGCACGGGCATTCGTAAGCAAAAATCACTCGTTTATTCTAGTTTTGGAAGGGAAGATCGAAGCGAATCGCAACGGCGTTTTTTGTCCGTGCGTAACGGCCTCTTCACTTATTTATAAAATCTAAACGGATCATCGCAGAGCAGCCGTACACATATCATCGGATAGCTCTCCAAATGCACTTTAAAACAAGCCTTTGGTCGATGCGATTCGCTTCGATCTTCCCTTCCAAAACTAGAATCAACGAGTGATTTTTGCTTACGAATGTCCGTGCGTAACGCCTAGAATTGCCCTCATAAGGATTTAGTGCATTTAGTGTGTAGGGCCGACAGGGGGGCGATCGCCCCCCCCCCCCTTAATACGCGCCTGCTGCTGCACTGGAAACGCAAGTGTGTGAATGTCGCACACTTGTAGGTGTGTGAATATCCATTCGTACAAAATTCACACGTTTACCCCCGTATGTCTACTAATGGATACTCACACACCTGCAAGTGTGCGACATTCACACACTTGCGTTTCCAGTGTGTGCCACGAGCCATCACTCTGCCTGCTCTGTGACATGGTTTGGGCCCCGCACAGCTCCAGCGCGGCGTGAGTTCCCATACATACTGTACTTCAAGCAGATATTTCGCGCGGCGGCGGTGCTGAAAGACACCTTACAAGTGAGAAATGGATGTCGAAACGATGACGTTTCGACGTCATGTCAACCATTTTTCCATCGTATCGACGTCGATTCGACTTGCCATTTCTCACTGGGTTGGGTTGGGTGATCCTTTTCTCTTCACCCTCTTACCGTTTCATTTTCAGACGATGGGGTCGCTATTTCATGCTGCAGATTAAGAAGTCGAGGCCCGTATTCCTTCTGAAATGACTTCCAAATCCTAACTCCGCCGATTACACTCTCCTTCTCGGCTAGGAAACCAAGCATATATGTATGAGCAGTAAAGTAATATAATTTCACTGTTAATGTCCACGAACTTTCCGGAACTTTCTTCTCTGCCAGCTACAAATTATTTGTCACGACAATGCACTGTAAGAGTATAATATGAGACGTTTGGCCACGTGGTTCCAGAAACCTACAGGGGTATGTCTATTTTACGAGTTTGTACTGATGGAAAAATATCTCAAATTTAAATGTTCTACTCACAAGGGGTACAATATTTTAATCGGGACAAATCGAATTTCAAATTAACATGTAAATACTGTTAGGAAACATCCATCAGTGTATACAGGGGTGGGTTATGCTCGCCGTCTTCTTTTTCGCTTATACTGTACCGGATTTAGGAGTGCGGGCGGGCTTGCCTACCGTCGGTGGCCATATGGCCCCGTGTGAGCATACCGGGTGTCCCGGCTCTTACATGCCAGTATGGCGGGTTGCATACGCGCCGGCTCGCAGGCGCTGTCGGGAACGCGCAGGATTTCGCGCATCCCCCGCGGAACCGCGAGCACCCCCGCTGCAGGATTTCGCGCACCCCCCGCGGAAACGCAAGAACCCCCGCTACAGGATTTCGCGCATCCCCCGCGGTTCCACGGGGAGGATCGCGGTTCCGCGGGGATGCGCGAAATCGTGCAAGCTCCCGACAGCGCCTGCGAGTCGGTGTTTATGAAACCCACCATACTGGCATGTAAGAGCCGGGACACCCGGTACAATTCTCCCGTGCACGAGTGGATTGCATACTCACACGGGGCCGTAAGGCGTCAGGGCGAGCGACAGTAGGCAAGCCCGCCTGCCCGTATAAGCGGAAAAGAAGATGGCGCGGGTCACTTAGGTCGGATATATTATAAAGTAGCCGACAGTCTAAGCAGAGAAAGGTTCTAAGGAATGTTAAAAGTAGCAATGAGCGGGAAAAATTGCTGCCGGCATGGAGGAGGGTTTGAACGTACAATACGCCTTAAATATTCAGGAGTAGACAAACCCGGTAGTGTTGTAAAGAACATACCACTAAAACATGTCATTGATGACCGAGTTAAAGCAGCGCATTCGATGTTGTGGCGATCAAGATAGGGGCAGCTACGTTTACAAAGGGGCGCCCCGCAATGGCCGCATGGGACAGTTTCACTGATCTTCAAACAGCAGGCGACGCACACCTGGAATAAACCACAAAACATAACAAATAATAAAAATGCACAAGAAAAACGGCGTCAAACTGTGGAGCGCTCATGCCGGGCCGCCAGCTACTTCAAGCCATAAACGCGGTTATGCGGGAGGGGGGGAGGGGCAGGAGCAGTCGCCCCGGGGCCCCCTGTCAGCCCTACAAAGTCATCTGCGCCTGCGAGGAAGGCAATCCACAGTACGGTGCAGAACTCATATACGTAGGCAAATCACAGCAACCCCTCCCCCCTCCCCCGGTCAGCCGGACCTAAAACCGGACCTGCTTCAAGCACACCTGCGCGTTGCAGGCGCTCATCGCCAGCGCGACAAGAGCCGCCCGAAGTATAAAACAGTAGCCTCTCGATTTTATGCCGCTCGACGGTGATTCTTACCTCAAGCTGTCCACCTTGCCTCTCTGTACCAGGTGGCTGACTCACGCCGTGCACTTTCGTAGTAGTTATACTGTACCGCACCGCATGCGCGGGTGCGAGAGGGCTTGCCTATCCTAGCTGCCCACGGCTCCCTACGGCTCCGTGCGAGTAGGCAACACGCCCCCGTGCATGCGGTACAGTATAACTACGACAGTGCGCCGCGTGAGTCAGCCACCTGGTACAGTGCCTACTACAAGTGCGGTTCAAAAACACTACCCACGCGAGACCGTGTGAACCCGCGGGAAACTGGACCGCATAGTTTTTACGAGTCAGTCCTGACTTGCCTAGCCTCGATTGTCTTGCTCGCAGTGACCGTCTCCATACCATAGGCTACAAAATCCCAACCCTTTACCGACCGCCAGAGCCAGGCCTACGGCTCGCAAAACGGCGGGTCTCGTCGGACTTTGGGATGCAGACGCGAGAAGACCCAGCCAGTATGGCTGTAGGATCCGTGGCCCACCCCTGCACAGTTCAGTCTGAAACTTAGTGCATGGGAAATTACCCCGACACCCTGCCAAGAATGCACGCTAAAATAAACAATGTGCACTCACCTTCGTGGGTTCAAGCGGATTCGTTGAGGCTCCAGGGTAGACGACCAGCGGCAGCTCCCTCATAAGGACAGTGCGCATCGGGATGTCCTTAACGGCCACGATGTGTCGGCCTACACGCTCGTCGGCACGTACCTGCAAGGGTGTTGCCACTAGTACACTTACATCGTATGGGTTCAGATCGAGCTAAGAGAACACTCACCTCGAGGCACCCGCAGGTCGGCTTATGCAGTTTCCAATGCTGTTTCTGGTGTTCCTTGCCACAGTAGAAGGCGACGCGGCAGCGCGCGCATGCAGTACCAGCCTGGCCACAGACTACACACGGGCCTCTGCGAGGACCTGCAGGAAGTTGGGGAAAATTCTATACACGCTACAAGGTGTCAGGCTTGATTTTCAAACAGTTCCCCCCCCCCCCAAAAAACAGAAACTGTGTCCGCACTGTAAACACAATAGTGCCTTAGACACCCGTAGTCACGCACAAGGAAATTAGTGCCTGTCAGGTCGACTCGACTGTTAGCAACAGTGGACCTGACACGCCAGGTCAGGTGGACAGCTGGTTGTGCCTGCGAGGCAAATAGCTGGTTAAATTGGTAACATTTCAAAGCCTCTTACCATACGTAAAATGATCCTCCATTGTGGAGCCGTTCCAAATCTGAAACAAGGAAAGAAAAAAGTAAAAAATGAAAGGCGAACTCTAAGTTTTTGACATTTGAAAGAAAAACGAAGTACGTGTAAATATTTTTTAGTACACGCCGCGTGCCCATATTCTTATACAATTTTGCCACACACAACAGCGAAGTGTCCATGAGTTGGGCATGGGCAAGTGTAACGAGTTGGCAAGTGGGGTGTTAATGACGGGCAAAACTTAAAAATTTGCGCGAAAATGCTGCTGAATGAAATCGAGAGGCACGCCCGCCAACTGATGCGTGGATTTGGGAATCAAGTATCGAGAAAATGAATAACTGTGGTGTCCGAATATAAAAATGTCGAATGGAAGGAAAATACACAAATTGATGTAAAATTAGGTAATTATTCAAACAGGGCACTTTACAAAGAAACGACTCTACTAGAAAATCCTACTGCTTCTAAAAGTTAACTCTAAATTGAACAAAGAAAATACCGTCTCTCAAACTCTCGTTCAAAACTTCGCACTCACTATGTTCACGCTCACACACTGACGAATCGTCCAAACACTTCACGCGTCACTTCTCGCTGTCACGAAGACACGCACTTAATCCAATCACTTCGCACAAACTTCACTCTTCCGTCGTTCACTCATCACTGTCTCTACGCACTGGCTCGGACTTCACTGACTGTCTCTATCTCACTCACACTCACAACTCAAAGTCTCCGCTCAACTCTCCACAACAACTCTCCAAACGTCACTCGCTCAACTCTCTTCGACACTCCGCACTCCACTCACTGAAACTCGACTCCTCAGCTCGACTCTCCAACTCCTGACTTCTCAACCGACTTGCTCTCGACTGCTCCACTGACTGACTGCACTCCGCGCCTGGACCCCCGCAGCCCCTTGCCGGGCAGGGTACAATTTCACTGCCAACATTTCGGGTAGAAATACAACGATCCTACAGGGGGTCCGCGCGGCCCTCCCCGGGCCGGCTGCGCGGCCGGGGCGCTGCGCTACGCTACGCCCACTCTGCCCATCGCGTCAAGGACGGAGGCAGACGAACGACTTGGACGACCAAAAGATTTGAAATAATTAGTTGTAATTGATGGGTTGGTATTAAGAATTTCGGAAATAGCTGGAAACTGCACTTTTCGGCCGGGAGGCTTCACGCGCAGGTCAGGTTTTATGGCTAGGGACGCCGGGCGAACTGGGCCGGGCTGCGCCCTATTTACATAGAGGCGGGTGCGACGAATGCGCCCGCGCAGCTACACTGTGAAAACGCTATGAAAAGCTGTTGTCGATTTTAAGAATTAAAATCTCGCCAACAGGGGGACTCCCTCGGGGGTCGCTCCTGGGACGTTGTTTACCAGTTGTTGGTGTCGCTGGTGTAGCTGGGGTCTCACCTCCGCAACGTGGTGAGAGGTGGCACCGCCTGCTGCCTGCGACTTACGGTGACCTGCAGTGACAGCGGTTATCACCCGTCGGGCAAAGACAGTAACTGTAGGAGAGGAGTGCACTGAGGCGTAGCAGCTACGCCAACGATGGTGTTTGGGTGGAAGCTGCAGTGCCGGCGGTGGGCGAGGCGCGGCGGGGTGTTGGGCAGAGGGGCAAGCTGCAATGACCCCTCGCAGCAGCATCAGTGACGAGGGGGAAGGCCACCCAAACCTCTGGTAACGGGTCGCGCGGCCTCAACGTTGGTAGGGAGGACAGAACAACTTTACGCACACACCCTGTTTTAGCCACGTCCGAGGCCCTGTAAGAGAGTGTGCGCGTGCGCCGCTGAGAGTGCAGCAGATCTCGACGGCGAAGGGTAACGTCGTCGACGAAGGTTTCGCGCCGTCTTCGTTTCTTGAACACTTGCTGGGCTCGGAGCTCGGACGAGTTGTTGTCCCCCCTCCCCCTCCCCCGCCACCCGAATAGGGCGAGGGGGACAGCTTGAGGTAAGAATCACCGTCGAGCGGCATAAAATCGAGAGGCTTCTGTGTTATACTTCGGGCGGCTCTTGTC